AAAAAAAAAAAAGACCAATGTCATTAAATAAAAATATCTCGTTAAGGTACTAGTAAATTAGAGAGGGTTGAGGTACCAACACATTGTCCCTGGTAATGAAGGAAGATCTTGCAAATAAAGATTAGGGAGGGCGACTTGACAGGTGGTTTGGAGATGTTGCAATAGTTGATATTATTGATGAAGAAGAAAAGCTGAAAGCCTGGAGATTGAAAGTTAAGCAAGTTTAGGAAAGGTTGTGGCATAAATTTCCTTAAATTTTTTTTATAAATCACTTAAAAACTTGTTATAAATCATTTTAAAAGTTAGGACACAAATACAAATGACTTTTAATTTATCATATCTTACAATAAACATTCAAAATTATTACTTTTTAGTTGTAGAATCAAAGTCAAAAAAATTTAGGACAGTGATTGGTACACACTGCGGTTCAACGCACTACATGATACACTCGTTAAAAAATCACTATTTTTTTGTATGAAATTAAAACCAGACAAGTTTAATGATACAATCATGCACACGGCATACAAGAATTGATTGAATTGACTGTATTTATATTATATTTTTAATGACTAAACAAAAAATGTGTCAAAAAATGTCTTGAACCGAAAGTGTACCAATCATTTAAAAAAAATTTAAACTACAAATTTTAGGGAAATGGTATATATACCTTGAAAAGTTACATACTAACAGTTTTCATTACTTGTGCCATTAAAACTGATAGTTTCCATTAGTTGTGTCAACAAAATTGATGATTTTCATTACTTATGTTGTTAAAATTGACATTTTCCATTACATACTGATAGTTTTTACTAATGTGTAACTGAGTATGTAAATTTGTGGGGTATATGTATCATTGTTCTAAATTTTAATAGCTAAATTATTGAGTATTGATTAGTGTATTAAATCAAAGGATATACTAATTAATTTTCTAAGTTATATAGTCAAAATTTTCTTTTAAAAAATTTAAAATTTTTTGACAAAACAAAGAACTTTAATTTAATGGCATTAGCACCAACAATATGCAAAGTTCTCTCATAATTATTAACTACCCACCAATCGGTTTATTGATGTATACTGGCTTTATAAGGTACGCTCATAGTGAAGGTTGGTTTGACAAAGTTTATTCTCTTAACTTGTTTGTAAATATTTTTTTTTCTCACATAATGTTCAAATTGTATAATATATTTTTATAAAATAAAATGAGAAAAAGGAAAAATAAAATTTTTTGCCATTAAAGATGTCAGTATATTTAATAATAACAACATAAGTTTTGATATTTTTAATATTAGGACGTCTAAAAATTTTTAATGCCAAAATATTCCTTTTTCTTTTTCAAATCAAATCATCAAATTAATAATTTAAAAAAAAAATTAAGACATTCTAACATTTAAAATATCAACACAATTTGCAAAATTATTCAAATACCCATGAGTTTTATTTACATGCTAATTTATTAAAAGTATCAAAGTCTTTTTAGTTTCATATCATTTCTAACAATTAAAGAACTAGTTCACACCATAAATTGTGAATTTGTTTGATGATGCTATGTGTTATATTGTTTGAATGAGTGCTTATGATTTAGTCATATCAAACTTGATGTTGTTGTGATTTGGAGCATGACAGACTTTATTGATTGATGGCTACCATGTGTTCAACTAGACTTGGTATTTTTGTATAGTTATCTCCTATTTATTTGGTGCAACATGACTTTAGTGGAGATCACGGTTAAATTTCAGGTGGAAGTTGCCACCCAAGTTTAGCAAGTGAGGGAGGTGGTAGACAAATGATGAATTCTAAAGAGAGTTTTAACTAAATCTGCTACTAAGTTGTCTAACTACCCCCACGAAGATCTGCCGTGTTCTACATAGATGGAAATAGATGGTTACCATCTTCTTTGAGACATATAAAAGAGAAAAATTCAGAACAAGTAACACACGGCCAACTCTACATACAACTCAACAAATTTAACTTTCTAGTTTCCTAACTACAGTTCACATAAGTTATAAATCTTAGTTTTAGCACAATTTCCAGTCATATTTACTTTATTTTTAGCTTTTTCAACAA